ACGGGGAGGGGGGGGGCGCTGTTAACGAAATAAATGACATTCGAAATAAATGACTGGGGGTGGGGGTACAGGTGAGGGAGGGGGGAGGGGGGAGGGGAAAGGGCATGCCAGGAAACCGGTTTACGAAAACCGACCATGCACTTGATATACAGGCCTACCATTATTTTTATTTTTATTTTTTTTTATTAAATCTTACCGTTGTGACTCCTTTCCCGACGAGCTGGTCTTTGTTTCTTATTAACTTTTTTTTGGGATGGGGGGGAGGGGGAGGGGTTTGAGGTTGATGGTGAATCCGAGAATACGAAAGGAGAAAAAAAAAGAAATAATATAATTAATTTCAAAGCGTGACGAAACACATTAAAAAAAAAGGTTTTATCAAATCACAAAATACCCATTTTCCTTCCTATAAACATCATGCTCTTAAACAAACACATTTTTTTTTATATAACACCAGAAAAAAAAAATTCATATACAATATATATTTTATATTTTTGTGCGGTTTGCTTTAGAATTTTGTGCTATTTAAGTTCTCTTTGCGAAACCTTACCGGCTGGCGTCCAGTGGAAGGGAAAAGCTAGCATTTGGAATAATAAAAATAATATTGTTATTCTTCTAAAGGCACAGAGACAAGATGAATAAATATTCTGCAACAGGAAACGTTAACTCATCTATAATCCATCTAATACAAGAACAAATATTAATGATAATTATGTAAATGGTAAAAGAAATGATAATTATAATATTTAGTTCAACGTTATAAAGTTTCTGCGTCATATCCAGTCGTTCTTGGGGCCGAAATAAGGAGAAAGCCGATAAACGGAAAGAGGAGGCATAAAGAATGATAATAAAAGAGGTAAGGCGATGATGGAGAAGAAAAAGACGAAGAGAAAGAGGAGAAACACATAATTCAACAAAGAAAACTAGAACATTGAAATATACACTTACACGTACATGTCATGGTTAATGATTCATTTCTCTATTCATAATCCTCTCCCCTCCCCCGTTTCTCTCTCTCTCTCTCTCTCTCTCTCTCTCTCTCTCTCTCTCTCTCTCTCTCTCTCTCTCTCTCTCTCTCTCTCTCTCTCCCTCTCTCTCTCTCTCTCTCTCTCACCCTTCCAATCACTCATCCACTCTTTCACTCACAGTCTCACTTTTCCTCTCACTCACTCACCCCCTTTCCCTCCCTCCCATCCCCTCCCACATCTCTCTCCCTCCTTCTCCCATCTCCCTCCCTCCCTCTCCCCTTCCCTCCCTTTTCCTTTCTCCTCTTCCCTCACTCCCTCCCTCTCCCTCCCTTCCCCTCCCTCCCCATCTCCCTCCTCCCTTCCCTCCCTACCCTCCTTCCCCCTCCCCCTTTCCCTCCCTCCCTCCTCTCCTTCCCTCCATTTCCCTCCTTACCCTCCTTCCCCCATCTCCCTCCCCTTCCCTTCCTTTCCCCCCCTCTTCCCTCCTCCCCTTCCCTCTCCCTCCTTCCCCCATCTCCCTTTCCCCTCCTTTCCCCTATCTCTCCCTCCCTTTTCCCTCAGACTCACCTATGACCTCGACTTTGACCGGCACTTGGTTGCTCTGACCCAGCAGGTCGACCGCCACCGCCAGGAAGTCAAAAGTCCACACGTCTCCGAAGGTGTCTCGACCCACGCGGATGATGCCCGTTGTCGCGTCGACTTGGAACTGGTGTAGAACACGGGAAGAAGGGTGTGGGCGCGTTAGTGATTGTTTTATTTTTTTATTTTTTATTTGTTTATTTATGTATTTGATTATCTATTTTTTTTAGTTTATATATATATATATATGTATTTTTAGAATCTTCTTTTATGGGAGAGAGAGAGGGGGGGGACAAGAGGATTTGGAGTTGGACTTGGAACTGCGTAGAAAACGGGAAAAAGGTGTGGGCGTTATTGAATTATTTTATTCGTTTATTTCTGTATTCGATTATCTATTTTACTTTTTTTATTTTTTTATTTTTTATGTATTTATTTATTTTTTTCATTTATTTTTTTTATGGGAAACAAGAGGCTTTGGACTTGTAACTGCACAGAAAACGGGAAGAAGGTATGAGCGCTATTTATATATTATTCATATAATCATATATCTATTTATCTATTTATTCATTTATCTTTTCAAAGGGGGGAGGGAGAATAGACGATTTGGAGTTGGAGTAAAAGTGTGTAAAACTGAGAAATGGAGGAATTTGGAACAGAGGAAGAAAGAAATCTAAATGAAAGAGGGTTTGGAACAGAGGAAGAGAGAAATCTAAATGAAAGAGGGTTTGGAACAGAGGAAGAGAGAAATCTAAATGAAAGAGGGTTTGGAACAGAGGAAGAGAAGTTCAGAATTGGTAAAATGAACAAGAGGGTTTTGAAATTACACGGATTTTGACACGTTTTCTTGTTATTTTCTTTATTACCGAATAAAGTAAAAAAACAAAAAAAGAAAAAAAGGGACAAACCACCCTAAAACAAAAACAAAAGAGAGAGAAAAAAAAACGAATAACAATAAT